TGAGTCCTTTGCTGAGGACTGACCATTTGTCCTCAGTGACAGGGGGGTCTGGGGGATGATGGTGAAAAGCTGGTAGGTCTTGGTGCTGGAGCTAGGTGTAGAGCTGGAGCTGGGGGTGGGGGTGGAGACAGTCTCGGGGGCAGGTGCGTGTATGGGAATGGTCACGTGGATGGAAGTGAGAGTAGCGATGTGGTCAGCAGTGTTAGTGGAAGTGATGTAGTCAGTGTCAGCAGTGGAAGCAGCGTTTTCGACATCAGCAGAAGTGACAGGGAGAAGCCGAGGTTAATGGCGCCGAGCGAATTAAGGAGGAGGTCGTGGATTAGGTTGGGGTCTAGGGTAGGGGAGGAGGCCTGTGTTTCGAGGTAAGTACGAGTGAGTTTGGCATACTTACAATCCTTGATGTCATTTGGGCAGAGAAAAAGCATTGGTTGAGGGTGTGGACCCTTTGAAGAATCAAAAACAGTAGATGTCCTTTGCAAGTCTGGGAGAGAGAGGCTCTGAGCTGGGGTAGGTCTGTCTGTAGTGACAGAAAATGCCAGCATATGGGCTGTGAATGTGGAGCTGAGGATCTGCAGAGAAAACTGTTTCTGGAGGCTCTGGATGTACTGTAGATAATGGTTATCGCAGTTTTGTCCAAATTGGGATGGTCTGGATGTTGTTGGAGCCCATGGGGTACGGGCCAGTTGTGTAGGCTGGTACTGGGAAAGGAGACGTGGCTGTAGTAACGGGTTTGTTTCAGGATGTGGTCAAAGAGCTTCAGGGCGGAGGAGATCACCAGGGGGTTGCAGTGGGAGAGAGACCCACTGAAGTCTTTCCAGAGGGAGGAGGATAACTTCTTCAAAGTGGGCATCCTTGGAAGAGGCTTCCACTCATCACCATCCCACCCACCTTCCCTGAGCCCCATCCCTCCTTCCTCTATTAATTTCGCAGCTCCCTTCCCCGTCCCCAGATGAAGGGTGTAAACCCAAAATGTCGACTTTCCTGTTCCTCTGATGTCACCGACTCTAAAATCTGTTTATTGCTCAGTGGTTCCCTGAGAATCCTTGCTGGCTGACTGACTGCTTCAAATGTTCAACTGCTTTTGAAAGCAGTGATTGGAATTCCTAATAAAGGGCTTGTGAACCACTGCCATCTTGTTGTATGAGCATGTCTGTTTTGTTGATAGCACGTAGTCTCTATCTACGTCAGTGAACAACAACAACCTTTATTAAGCACAATGCTGGATTCAAGGGCAACTCTGGTACAAACTTAGGTCCCAGTTCCTATGATCTGTCCTTTTGCTGACAGTATGGTCTACTAGAATTAGAATCAGCTTTATTGTCATATGTGCTCACACAAGTACAGTGAAAAGTTTACAAGTTGCCACTTGCAGCACTATCTTAGGTACAAAGGTACCTGGGTACAGATTCTTCAGTACAAATTCTTAGGGAAGAAAGTTAGAAAAATAAGGAAATAAAAAGTCCAGCATTACACAGGATATGAATTAATTTGAGAAATAAAGAAATACAAAGTTCAGAATAACAGTCCTTCCAATCCAGTCCACTCTGGCACCAGTCTCCAAATCCAGACTGCACCAGTCTTCATATCAAAGTTCTCATGGCTGGGAGACCACTTTGGAATCATCTCGAGGCCGGAAGTCCACGCTGAGGCCATGCCGGACCAAAAGAACGCCACACCGGGCCACCAAGAGACTGCCATTCTGGGCCAATAAGAGGCCATCACTTTGGGCTGGGAGATCACCATGCCCGGTCTGCGCTGAGTCCGGGAGTCCGAGTCTGCACTGAGGCTGAGAGTGCAAGTCCGCTGAGGCTGGGAGTTCAGGACATCGCCGAGAAGAAAGAAGGGAAAAAACACAAAAGAGAATAGAGAGAGAAAAAAAGAAATGAAACGAACAGAGCAGAGGAGCTCCAGCCAAGGAGTCCTACTCCACCCGCCATCTTGGATCTGGATCCACTACTGAACATAGTAATCGAATTATACTACACTTCACAGCTGCTGGAGTTATTAAAGGCCAGTTGTTCTTCTCAAGTATTCATTTCTCTAGCGCAGATTTCTACTATTTTGTATTTTTCCCTAGGTTTATAAAACGCAATGCTTTTTGGTACGTTAAAAATAAATTTTGTATAGGGATGTTGCTCAACAATATTCAGGGTGAACTAAAAAAAATTGAATCCTTATCCACATCCTGTGACATTGCTCTTCACATTGTCTCTTTTTATTTGGATCGACACTTTATTTTACCATTTTTCCTGAAGGTGTGTTTTTTCTTATGAGTCGGTGGTTAAATCTGCTTGTTGTAGTTTGTGTGATTTGCTGCAATGATTTTGATTCAAGAGGTAAGGCACCAACAAGAATTAAAATGTGCTAAAATCATTTTGTTTTAACATTGGTCATAATTTAACATAATATGGGTATCACTGACAAAGGCAATGTTTATTGCATATCCCTAAATACCCTTGGAAGAAGTGATGGTGAAATCGGAAGTGGATGTCGTCAGAGGGGTCAATGGTGAGTCAAATTTGGGGAGAGTTTGTCATTTTAGTAATTACCCAAGCGTTAAAGGAAATTTGTAATCCTCTAACACTTCCTGGGTAACTATTCATCTTAAGTGAGTGTAAATTCTCCAACTCTAAGGGACTTTTTCAGAGGACGGGAGAATTGCCCATCATTATCTTCAGTTTCCCAGGCTGTTCCTATGGAGTCAGCTGAGTCAGGATGTTCACGTGGTGCCGAATGGAAACTCCAGTCAGTGCTGCTGCAAGCCTTTAAAGCAGGTTGAGTCAGATGTTTCAACTTGTAAGAGCAAGTGACGCATTTAAGAATAAAAAAGACTGCAATTTGAAAAGTAACTCACTTGACGAGAAAATTACCATTTAAATCGGATTATTTTAGATCCTATATTTACCTAAAGCTCCGAGATAATGGTGTTTTCTTCACATGCTTGAAGGATATTTGGATGCTGAAAGTGCTTTGCCTTTATTCAAAGACAGATCTGATCTAATTAAGTGCAACTAAGGTACATAATCTCCAAATTCCTGCTTTTACCAAAGACTGTTGAGAGTTAATCGTGTCTGATTGACCAGGCTCAGTCCTCCATTAATGTGTTTTACAGACTCAGGTAATCCTTGATTTCACACGTTAAACAAAGAGCAGAGAGAAAAAAAAAGTTTAATGTTCTAGTTAAAGATTTTTCAGTTTGAATGTCAGGGCTAGGCTTTTAAATTGGCAGTGGGGGTTTCATTCACTGAATGACAAAATATCAGGAGTTCCCATTGTCTTTGCGAAGGGCTGCCCAAAGTACATGTCCATCGGGCACATATCTGGCCAGCCTTGGGCCTTCAATGCAATATAGGACCCCAGGGAGTGGAACCATATCCTTGAGATTTGATCAACGCCCTCCATTGCCAGTTAGTGCCATGGTAGCTGCCAGCAATGCATCCACCAGGGACCAGGTAGGTAAACGTTGTGTGGGAGTCACATTTCCGGCTGCTGAGGGAGCAGGAGAGATTTTTTGTAAACTTTCATGGAAAGTGAGTTTCGCTGGCAAGGCCAGCATTTGTAGCCCACAATTAGCTTTGAACTGAGCTATTTCTAGGCCATTTCATAATTAACTACACCACTATGAATCTAAAGTCAAGAGTAGGCCAGACCAGGTAAGGACTAGATGGATTTTTACCACAATCTGTGTTAGTTTTGTAGAGACTAACTTGCAATTCTACATTTTTATTAATTGTATTTGAATTGAACCAGCTGAAATGGTGGGATTTGAACCCCTTTCCTCGGACAGTTAGCCTGGACTTCTGGAACATGAGCCCACTGACACCACCACTAGGCTGCCATCTCATCATTAGAAGAAAGGGAAGACGTGTGACTTCCAATGTCCCCCAGCTCTCAAGCACTATCACTTCCTGAAGTCTGGTCCCTTGATCAGGCATTGTCTCACAGCGCCAGGAACCCGAGTTTGATTCCACCCTCGGGCGACTATCTGTGTGGAGTTTACACATTCTCCCCGTGTCTGCATGGGTTTCCTCCAGGTGCTCCGGTTCCCTCCCACAATCCAAAGATGTGCAGGTTAGGTGGATTGGCCATGCTAAATTGCCCATAGTGTCCAGGAATGTGTGGATAAGGTGGGTTATAGGGGGATGGGTCTGGGTGGGATGCTTTGAGGGTCGGTGTGGACTTGTTGAACTGAAGTGCCTGTTTCCACACTGTAGGGATTGTATGAGCTCTATGAATGTCTTTAAATGAGAGATACTCCCACTGAGAGCTGACAGGTTTGCCTTTTAGGCTTCCTGCCACAAAAAAAGTTTTTCACCTGTGCAATTCTTGTTCATCAAATTGGCTTATACTACATCTGCTGCTATTGGCT